AAGAAATCAATTACAAAGCACTGTTAAATCCGTAAATGAACACACAACAGCCAAGATTGTCTTCCACTGACACTGTTTGTAGAGTAACAATTTCATCTACACATCAGTTGTTACCTGGGCAATTCACCTCGTCATCGTCACAGTCTTTGAAACCGTCGCACACGTAGTAGAGAGGAATGCACTTTCCTGTATTACATCTAAAATACATTTCAGGACACGTGTTATCTGCAATAAGAAATACTGTAGTGTTAATAAAGTGCTCAAAATTACTATTGTATAAATTTGTGTGACCTTAATTTTCTGTTCTCGCCCTTAAAACTGCAATGGGCTTGCAGTGTTGTTATTTGCAGCCAAGCTGCCATATCTGTACCCTTCCGCCAATGTTATTAAGTCACTAATTGTTTGCCTTTTACGACATGCTTTTTACGGGTTGGCGTCTGTGGCTTAAGTTTGAGTGTGTGCTTCATACATGGAGGTACTCAGGCCGTGAAATAGCTCTACGCAGTTGGTCTATATATAAGAAGTGAAATGCCAGGTGGGATATTAAGATATGGTATAACTAAAACCCAAATGACGTACTTAAAGGAGAAGAAAGAAAGAAAGAAAAGAAACAAAGAAACAAAGAAAGAAAAGAAAGAAAGAAAGAAAGAAAGAAAGAAAGAAAGAAAGAAAGAAAGAAAGAAAGAAAGAAAGAAAGAAAGAAAGAAAGAAAGAAAGAAAGAAAGAAAGAAAGAAAGAAAGAAAGAAAGAAAGAAAGAAAGAAAGAAAGAAAGAAAGAAAGAAAGAAAGAAAGAAAGAAAGAAAGAAAGAAAGAAAGAAAGAAAGAAAGAAAGAAAGAAAGAAAGACAGACAGACAGAAAGAAAGACAGACAGACAGAAAGAAAGAAAGACAGAAAGAAAAAGACAATTAGAGTGAGAGAAATAAAAGTGAGGCATTAAACAGAAGTTAGAGAAGCTAAGGAGAAAAACATCATTACAAAGCATCTTACTAGCACAATTATCTTCATCCTCTGTAGTATTTCTGTTGCATTCTCCAGGTTCCCCGTCACATCTTTGAAATATATGAAGACACTTAGGGGGGTTTGTACATTTCCAGTATCCTCCTGGACAGGCAAAGTCTACGAAACAAAGAATATGCGCTGTACAAATTGTTAACACAACAAAGGTATCACAACAACTAGGTTACACACTGGTGGTTGGAGTATTTTTCTTCGTGTTATTGCTGTGTAGCTCATGTCGAGAAAGGCAACGGCCAAAACGTTGATTATCCTATTGTGTGTATGTTCTTCCGCTTCCTCCTTTAATTAAGCTGTTTAGTCACAGTTTATTAGATTCATTTTTAGGTTATAAACAGTTTAGTCACAGTTTATTGGATTAATTTTTAGGTTATAAACAGTTTAGTCACTGTTCATTAGAATAATTTATAGGTTATAAACTGTTTACTCGCAGTTCATTGTGAAACAGGGTTGTTTCTAGAAGCATCATATGTTTGTTAGGGATGTAGGATATTGCGCAAAGTTATGATGTGCCAGAATCAACAAGTCTTGGCAACCTTGACATTCCTTTCTAGAACCATTGTGTGTTTATAAGCATAGATATGTTTTGCAAAAGAATAATCTATAATAAGTATATGAGGTAATGTTTTTAAACGTGCCCTAACAAAGAGAACACAGTAGTACCCTTTCTAGAAGTCACCTAAAAGGCCAAGAGTCATTTTATTTGGCAATTATTGGTTTAATTATCTGATGTAATAGAGATGTAATTAAAAATCCTACGTGAGAACGCTCATAGTAAACAAGTCTCAGCATACAAGAATACTCTAGAAACAGTTAGTGAGTTGAAAACACATACCACGCATTTTAGCATCTTGACATAAATAGCGGGTAAGAAAAGATTTTTAAAACTTTCAGTCTACGAGACTTTAAAGAGGAGGGAACCAGTAACACGGACACTCAAAAAGAACCTTTGGTCGTCAAGACTTAGAAGAGGAGGAACTAGTAACATGGACCCTGAAAGAGAACTTTCACTCAGCGAGACTTAGAAGAAGAGGGACTAGTACCATGGACCCTACTACAGAACTACAGAGACAACAGAAAGAATACATAGATCCATGGTTAACAGAGACACACCAGATAGAAACAATATTGAGATGTTAAAGTCGACGATTAAGGCGTTAGTAACAGACTGCACTAGACGTCAGGTGGCAGTGATAAACATGAGGAACCGTTAACAAAGTAACTAGAGATAAAGAACATAACGCGACCGACGAGTAGGTAAAAACAGAGCGAACACAGCAGCGATTCAGAATATCACTGATGATATTTGTGACAATGCTGAGGTATCACAATAAAGACAGTACATTAAAAACAATAGGTGTTTCCTGACATTTTATTATATAAGCATCAGAGTGTTGCGAGAAGCATGCAGTAAGCAAGACATCATCATGATCACCATTTTCGACACGACCATATTTCTCCTCGCCTATACCCTTCCAGTTAACTCCTCCCTTAGCGAACCAAAAACGAACCTGGTTGTGACATTAAAGTACAGAAAAGACAGCTGCGCTACAATTACATTAATTTCTAGGTTTTAAACTGTTTAGTCACAGTTCATTAGATTAATTTCCAGGTTATAAACTGTTTAGTCACAGTTCATTAGATTAATTTCCAGGTTATAAACTGTTTAGTAACAGTTCATTAGATTAATTTCTAGGTTATACACTTAAGTTGGGGAAAAAATGTAATGAAAATACTCCAGAGAAACAATAAACCATTAACTCTTGATGGAAGCCTTTACCCAGATGTGAAAGAAAAGGCAAAACGGCTTCACAAAAGTAAGAAATGTGCGGAAGCCACAGGACATTAACACCAGTTCCAAGCGTAGAATAATTAGCTAACTATCAAACTAACACTGCTGAATGATTGAACTGAAACACGGAGAACGACCAAGCAGTTAATAATAAATTACTAACATTATTACTTGGTGCCTGCGTGGAATAAAGATTATTAAATGTAACTTAATAGGCGAGTTTTAAAAAAATTCAGTTAATCGACGGGCGAGAAAAAGAGCTGGCATTGCAGAAGACGCGACCTGAAAATGAGAACTCTGATCATCATCATCATCATCAGGTGCCTTGCCGACTGGCGTGGGCGATCATGCCTCTCCATAATCCACAATCTCCTGCAGAATGTATCAGTTCGTGTGCTGACACACCTCCATGCCATGCAACAAGGCTGTCAAGAATCTTCTCTCGTTGTCTTCCTCTATCACTCCTTCCACAGATCTTTCCAGTGGTCACCACATGTTCTATTTAATATCAGAACTCTGATATTAGTATAATTAAACCGCGCTTGCATTTAAACGGTCTTTAAAAATACCCCCCCAACCCCAATCATCTTGCGTTTAATTTCTAACGCCATCTAACTATAACAGTGCCTACTACCGCTACCATGGCTTGTTTCAGCGCCAACTGAATCCTTGACTACACAATTTTCTTACCTAATGCGGGCGTGGATTTTTTTTTTTTCATGGTATGGGGCAAGGCAGGTCGACGCAGCCTAAAATCGGTACCAGGATGGCGTAATGCTGACCAACCACATTACCCACCTAGTGCCGACAGGTCTGTAACCACATGAGTGCTCTTTCCATATGCCCGATGCTCCTAAAGGCGTGAAAAAGGATCTTTACTTTTTTACTCTACTAACTAATGCGGACACTTCATTGCTGCAGAGCCAGTGAATATCAGCCTCTGAATTCAAAAACTATCAAATTGTTGGTCCATTTTTTTCGGACGTTTTTTTTTTTTTTTTTTTTTTTGTCAACCGACTTTTTCAACCATGTCATTATTAAAAGTCCAGACAGCAATGGCAAACTACTGGACGTAAATTTGCCTAGAAAAACCACACAACAGCCAGGGGCTGTTGGGGTTGGTTCTGCGACGTCCTGTAAAGGATACGCAACCAACCTCATTATTAAAAACCAGACACACGAAACGGATATTATAACCGCGCTTTGTCTCTCTTATGCAAGGCTCCAGATAAATACGTAAGATTTTTATGAACATCTAAGCGGGGCAAATGTCGCATTAGTTAAAAATTGAAATTTTAAACATTGGATTTGATTAACAAAATGCTGTCAGTATTAGTTTTGTTAAATCTACGCCGTCAGCAGTCCCCCCCCCCCCCCCCCCCCCCCCCCCCCCCTTGTCTTCTGTCTTCAGGTGTAAAATAAAAGTCGAAAAACGCTGTTTCAGATCATGTGAAAGTACCAACAGCACTATATACCCCAGGGACAACTTTTAACTGCTAAAAAATAAATAAATTCTCTCGGTACCTTCATGTACTAGTAGTTTTATTTCTACTTGCCTAAATAAATATTAAATTATATCAACACTTACTTGTACAGTTAGATTAATTCCTATTCCTTTAGTAGGCATTACATTCTCTTACTTTTATCTGCACAATTGGCTTCATTTCTATACGTCTAAAAAAAGCGTAACATTCTTTCGGTACTTACCTGTGCAGTTTGCTTCATCTTCTCCTGTCATGCAGTCAAGAAAACCATCACAGACAAATGCGCTATAAATACACTGTCCGTTGTTACATTTATAGCTTGTGTTGTCACACCTAACTGCAAATAGTTTATTTGTAAGGAATAATTGTTAATTACAAGTCTTTTAAAAAAATCAAATACCTGCTTAGGATGTTACCACTATATGGGAAGGTACAGTAAAACGCTGCGACACTAAGAAAATAAATATGTGTGCTTGCAGTGAAAGACAAAAAAAAAAAAAAAATACAGCAGTGGGAAATAAACTGATGTGTTTACATGGAAAGATGAAACAAGACATGGTGATAGTGGTAAACAAACCTATGTATTTACAGGGAAAGATGAAACAAGACATGATGATAGTGGTAAACAAACTTATGTGTTTACATGGAAAGATGAAACAAGACATGGTGATAGTGGTAAACAAACTTATGTGTTTACAGGGAAAGATGAAACAAGACATGGTGATAGTGGTAAACAAACTTATGCGTTTACAGGGAAAGATGAAACAAGACATGGTGATAGTGGTAAACAAACTTATGTGTTTACAGGGAAAGATGAAACAAGACATGGTGATAGTGGTAAACAAACTTATGTGTTTACAGGGAAAGATATGGCATTGGGAAACAAACTGGTGTGTTTACATGGAAAGATGAAACAAGACATGGTGACAGCGGGAAACAAACTGATGTGTTTATAAGGAAAGAGCCAATAAGACCTGATGATAGTGGGAAACAAACTGATGTGTTTACAAGGAAAGAGCCAAAAAGACCTGATGATAGTGGGAAACAAACTGATGTGTTTATAGGGAAAGAGCCAACAATACCTGATGATAGTGGGAAATAAACTGATGTGTTTATAGGGAAAGAGCCAAAAAGACCTGATGATAGTGGGAAACGAATTAGTGAGCTTATAGGGAAAGATGAAACAAGACTTGATCCTCTTTTAACTGCCCGAAGATTTGTTATATCACGGAAGGATTCTTTGCTGGCTTCGTTGAATTTTGTTTATTTGTGGCTATCAATTTCGTCTGAGTTCTGTTTATTTGTGGTACGAGGCTGTGGCTGCTCCTTTTAGGGCGTGGTTTCGGTCAACAATGCTTTTGGCTCCTCTTGATTGGGTGGTTTGTGATACTGGGAAACAAATCAGTGCATTTATAGGGAAAGTGTCAAAAGGGCATAATGTATGTATAGTCATCCTCTTGTAGGATGCAATTTTTCGTTATTTTGAAGCCCTACTCTGGCTCTTGCCAGGGGCCGCAATATAGCCCGGCTATAAATATGGTCTAATGGCTGAACGCGGTTTCCGGGACCTCTCCACGTGTGATCCTCATCCACATGTTGCACTTTGTGTCATCGGGTGTTTGTCGCTTGTGTGATGTCCTAGAGGGGTAAAATGTATTACTACTACTAATAAGGCATGATGACAGTTGAAAACAAATTCGTGCGTGTATAAGGAAAAACACAGCAAAATGTAACGACAGTGAGAAATAAACGAGTGTATTTCAAGAGAAAGAATAGACATGACGAAATAAGTGCTTATGCTTTTAGAACTTTAAATTATTAGTATTATTACCCAGATTTGTCCTTTTTAGGACAACATTTTTGGTTATTTGAAGCCCCACCCTGGCTTTTGCCAGGGGCCGCAATATAGGCAGGCCATGGGTATGGCCAATTGTCTGAACGCGGTTTCTGAGACCTCTCCACGATGATCCTCATCCACATGGTGGCACATTGTGTCATCGGGTGTTTATCGCTTGTGTGATGTCCTGGTGGGGTAGAAAGTCAGTCAGTCAGCACTTTAAAAAGAAAATAACAAATGTCTTTGTTTGTTTTGTTTAGAGATGTATCAATCTTCAATTTCACTAACACATCGTTGGGAAAGAGAGTTTCGCTTCATGCTGTGCTGAGTTGAAACTTTTTATATCTACACTGAGCTGGTTATCTACATAAGTTGAGAACATTATGAGAAGAGGCAAACTTGAGTACCCTGTGACAAGGAGGAAGGAGGCCGAAGGATGAAAGAGGCAGAGGAGAAACATGAGAGACAATTTTGACATTTTGGCATGGAATAACCTTTGCCTCATGAATGACTGACATTACTCGGCATAGTCGGATGCGGACAGACATGATTACCAATGCCACACGGCTATAGCTGAGTAAATAAAGTTGGGTAACGTTCTGCGAGACTTCAATGTGTGTTATTGTGTGTTTTTAAACATCAATGTGTTCGAATAAGGATGATCGCGCGACAGGCCCAGTAAGTCGGCAGGGATTATTTTTTATTTTTCATTTTTATTGGGGGGGGGGGGGGGGGGGGGGGGGGGTGGCTAAAGAATTGTCAAGAAATTGGAAGGGGAAAATAGCGTTATACAACACTCTACCCCGTCACGGCATGACAATAGCCAGTGGCAGCCAGCGTACAGTGGATCAAATTATTCCTCTCCACGTCGCTTAACAGCAAACGAAGTTTATGATGATGATAATGACTCGGCATGGTCCTATACAATAAGAAGAGTTTGTCACAAACAGCAAGTCAACATTTGTGAGTACCCATTGCGTCGATGCGCAATCACTCACGAAAACATTGCCAGCATCTGAATTCTGTCCATGCCACGCCAGTCAATGTAAGTTTCTGGGTCTTTCCAGTACTATTGATCAGTGCTCCTGGACCTATTTGCACCCACGGCCCACCACCGTGGGTTAGTGGTTTAAATAATCATCATCTAGCAGGTCCTTTGCAGAACGTCGCTTTCATCACCGTCTGCTTGACAGAAACACGGTCCCTCGCGCAGCTCTCCCGCCTTATGTACTTTTATATTAAAAGAGTCACTTATATCCTGTGTCCATCTTCGTGTTTGTATCCTTCTTGGTATGATACCTTCTGCTGTTATTTTCTCTAATCTACGTGACACTTAAAATGACCAAAACTTCCGATACAAGATGCAACTTATTCGCCAATCTTCCATGATCTTCAGATCTTTTAGTATTTCTCCTTTTCTTTGTTCATGATATTCTGAGAATCTGTGTATAGCATTTCGGCTTAAAATCCGCCACTTTCTTTCTTAAAGACTAGTGGTTTAGATGCTCTGAGAATCTTTCTGTAGCATTTCCGCTTAAAATCCGCTACTTTCTGTCTCAAAGACTAGTGGTTTAGATGCTCTAAGAATCTTTCTGTAGCTTTTCCGCTTAGAATCCGCTACTTTCTGTCTAAAAGACTAGTGGTTTAGATTCTCTGAGAATCTTTCTATAGCTTTCCGCTTAAAATCCGCTACTTTCTGTCTCAAAGACTAGTGGTTTAGATGCTCTGAGAATCTTTCTGTAGCATTTCCGCTTAAAATCCGCTACTTTCTGTCTCAAAGACTAGTGGTTTAGATGCTCTGAGAATCTTTCTGTAGCATTTCCGCTTAAAATCCGCTACTTTCTGTCTTAAAGACTAGTGGTTTAGATGCTCTGAGAATCTTTCTATAGCTTATCCGCTTAAAATCCGCTACTTTCTGTCTTTAAGACTAGTGGTTTAGATGCTCTGAGAATCTTTCTATAGCTTCTCCGCTTAAAATCCACTACTTTCTGTGTTAAAGACTAGTGGTTTAGATGATCTGAGAATCTTTCTATAGCTTTCCGCTTAAAATCCGCTACTTTCTGTCTTAAAGACTAGTGGTTTAGATGCTCTGAGAATCTTTCTATAGCTTTCCGCTTAAAATCCGCTACTTTCTGTCTTAAAGACTAGTGGTTTAGATGCTCTGAGAATCTTTCTATAGCTTTTCCGCTTAAAATCCGCTACTTTCTGTCTTAAAGACTAGTGGTTTAGATGCTCTGAGAATCTTTCTATAGCTTTCCGCTTAAAATCCGCTACTTTCTGTCTTAAAGACTAGTGGTTTAGATGCTCTGAGAATCTTTCTATAGCTTTTTCCGCTTAAAATCCGCTACTTTCTGTCTTAAAGACTAGTGGTTTAGATGCTCTGAGAATCTTTCTATAGCTTTCCGCTTAAAATCCGCTACTTTCTGTCTTAAAGACTAGTGGTTTATGTCACGAAACGATCTCAGTGGTTCCAGAAGTTAGTACTTGTAATGAGTTCTTCTGGTTCTAAATAGACAGGATTATATTTACTCTGCCCTTTACCCTAATATTACTTTAAACCAAACTGATTTAAATGTTTCCAGTCCTTCTCCGAGACCAAGCCACTGCGCTGTGTTTAAAATTACATAACACTACGTAATACAGCCCGCTGGTTCAGACTAGGGATGTTATGTTTGATTCTCATGCCAGTGTCAGAATGTTATCTCCTGACCACACTGTAGAGGCCAGCGAACGGGGAACTTAGCATCACACCTGAGCTGAACCGTAGGTCGTAAAGGTTACCTAACACAGACGGCTTTGAAAGGCTAGACATTGTGGAGACGAGAGGTTGGAGTTTGGCAAGTCAGTGTAATTCTTGGCAGAACAGGTGTTTGGCAATTAGGAATGTTTAATCTTGGTCTAGTAGGAAACACAATGGCTTCACGGACCGTTTTCACACCGGCTAGTTAGATTCGTCGTAAACTAGATTGGGTCACTTTAGAATGTTTGCTCCTGGGATGGCAGTCCAGAATTGAGTGACAGGCCACTGGTTAGCCAATTTGATCTGATAGTTACCTCAGAGGCGTGGCTTAAGTCATCGTCTTGAGGGTTGGGTAGAACCCAGAACAGGGAGGAGATTAATTTGGACAATAGATTGATACTTATACTTCGAGCCTGTGGAATTCCCGTCATTAATCGCAGCCTGCCGGCAAACAAACACAGGTCGACCTAAAAGGTAAATTTTACGGTCGGATTCTGTTTTGGCGATTGATGGAAAGTTCCCAGGTGAATATTAATTTTAATCTCGTATACATAGGTTAGGGAGTTAAGCTTAGTCTATACTACCTTTTCCTAATTTGTCCGCACATTCTGCTTGAAATAGTTCTTTGTGAGTATTCAGTATCTCAGTTAGGGAACTGCTAAACTATTCCTATTTCTTGTATGTTTGTGTCACATGTTTTTCAGTGTATGTTTTCATGTGTATAAAATAAGATGTGAACAATGACATTTGCTATAATGAAATGTAATTATATTGTTTCCACCATCAACCAAAATATGAGTTTGGACTGTGGGAAATGATGCCCAAATATGTGCAGGGTTGCTGCTACGTTTTGTGTGTGCCCACCATGTGCTCACTTAATGTGTTCAACTAAACAGGGGATTTATAACCCCAGGGGAAGAATGATGGGTGTATAGAAGTCACGGTCACTGAAAGATAATATTCAGGACAGTGTGTACATATAAATTGTTTGCGTGTTCAGCACAGAACCTGCGCCACATGTTTATGTCAAATCAATGTCAGCCAGTTGGAAGTCTGAGTGATGACAGACAACAGACTTAGAAAGTCAACTATCATGACATAGCATGAGAGAGGAAGGCAGGATATGTGACGTCCATGTACGACAAAAGACCTTCAGACTAGACTGGAGAGAATGTGGAATATGAGGAGTGATGGGATATATTTTATTCTTAGATGTTATATTAATTGATACATGTATTCTTAGTGTAAGTCAAGATACTACACGTATGTGTTTGTTTCCATGATTACAGCGCCCATGTGACGATCAGTCCATGAAAGAGACTACATTGTGTTAGACTCGGCCAGCTGGGAACGAGGTGGAGAACGAGGTGGGAACGATGTGGAGACCGAGGTGGGGATGAAGTGGAGGATAAGCTTAAACAGGCAGAAAACAGGCAAGGAAGAGTTGGACAAGCTTGACAGTTCCTCACGGCTGTCAGAGGCTTATAAGTTAAGTTAACCACTTTACCTTAACATATTACCATCATCATCATACCACTCTAAACCCCGGTTCTGTTTTCTCGCTGAAGCTTACCACTATATCATTAGTATAACTGTAGCCAGTCACTGTTAGTGTAACTCAACAAACTGGAAAGTTCATATAAACTAATTGTTAGTAAATAAAGCTGTATGTCAAGTTTTAAACTACATAGTTTGTTAAATTCCAAATGTCTGTTCCTACATGTTTAATTAAACTGTTAGGATAGAATACCATTTGGTGGGGGCTCAATTAATATGATAATAATGCTTTAATTATTCATAATAACACCGGGAGAAGGTAGATGACGGAGGAATCATTTGCCCTGTCTAATAATTCATTAAGTATAATGCTATAGACATCTAAAATTCCCTTTCTTCTCTTGTGGGTACCAAGTTCAGCTAATGTTAATGTACTTAACGAGCCAATATGGCTGTTTTCTTGGGTATCCAGGACTTTGTCTGAGAGCAACATAGCTCAGATTTTAGTTCGGTTAATCTGGTCGAGGGAATGTGTTGAGAGGAACATCCCTACTCAACATCATATAAACATTTAATCCACGCGCCACGTCACAGTTTAGATGCTCTGAGAATCTTTCTATAGCTTTTCGGCTTAAAATCCGCTACTTTCTGTCTTAAAGACTAGTGGTTTAGATGCTCTGAGAATCTTTCTATAGCTTTTCCGCTTAAAATCCGCTACTTTCTGTCTTAAAGACTAGTGGTTTAGATGCTCAGGTTATTTTCATTTAAATTGAAAATAACAATGTTTTCTTGCTGTCTTCAAATAGAGAGATCTTGACTGGCATTCGAATGGAAACCTAGCTAAATGAATTAGCAAAGACAAGCATCAGACCACAGGCTTCACACAGACCTGTGGTCTTCTCCTCTGAGCACCACTGGTAACTAGAAAGAAAAAAAAAAGCTGTCTCAACTCACTGCGTCTAAATTAAACGGGTACCAAGAAATGATTTGGATCCAAAATATAGCCTAATGTGGTGTTTACCATGTCACCCTTTGAGGCTAGATTGGTCTATACCAAAGTCTAAAGTCGGGAGATGTGAACCAGCGTCATTACACACGGTTATAAAGGATAAGTGCTCTGTCACCAGTACGGACAGATGATAAGAAACTGTCCGGCTGTGTCGCCGTCCGCACAAAACTCCGTAGCTACAGCGACGTTCATCCATTTACTCCAGAGTGTTAACTCTGGTACCAATTTCCTAGAGGCTGGGTAAACCCCGGGAAACGTCCGGTTTTTAACACCGGCCGTGGGCTGCACCGAGTCGCAGCTGGATTTGAAGGCGTCTCCTATCAACTGCGCTAACGCGGCCTATAGGATAAAAGTCCTATACTACATCAACATGAAACATACCCATTAATACTTACTTGATATATGCACCTACCATGAAACTGCCAGTTGGAAATAGCTTCTTGAAACAGGGAATCATGAACAGTTGGATCCACATACTCTATCAGAGGCTTGTAGGGTTTATAAAACACCTTGGACTGTATTATTGGGTTCAGGTTACAAATTGTAACGCTGGGAAATTCCAATGAACTGGACACTTTCATATCCATCTTCACCTGCAGATTGGAAGGAAATTATAAAATCCCTATGGTATTTATATGGCATTAATACACAGGTGTAACAAAGTTTTGATATTTTTCTGTGACAGCTAGAGGCTGTGGACTAGGTCGTCACACTTCAAGTCCCAAGTTGGGTCTCAAATGATTGCCAAGTCCTAAATATCATTTTCTTCTACCGTGCGTAGGGTTTTTCATGCTCAGGTGAGACCATTAGGTGGGTTGCTTCTATGAACTCGCGTGTCAGCTGCAGGTCATACATAGTTTCTTTCTACTTCTTTCTATGAGTGCCGTTCACAATACTTTCTGTTACTTGATTAATTCATAATATTTAACGGCCTCAAATGGTTCCCCCCTCTGTTTATTTATAGTTACCCGTAGCTTGCTCTTCGCAGTTGCTTTTGATGCCAGGTTTCTTTCAATGGTATTAGAATGGGCAGGTCTGTAGAATGAGCTCGGGTGGGGTGGGGGTGGGGGGGGGGGGGGGAGGGGGCGTTTCACGTCACCAGGAATGCGTTCAAGTCCCGAGTCAAGTGTATTCATGTATCAAATCACTTGCAAGTCGTACGTGGCACAATGCTTATGGATTTTACTTGGTAGTATGTTTAATACCAGAACATCAGCAAACAATTGTTAAATTTTAATTTTATATCACAGAGCGTGATTGAATGAGTATATTTGCATACTGAAGATACTGACATTTTAATAAATTTGCGGAAAACTGAAACGTTGTCACTTTATTTCAACATAATTTTTTTTTTTGATCACAAAAGCTCACAGTGGCCGGCCACAAAAAACAAGTCATACTAAATCATCGCGTGGCATGTCGCGTTTCAAACCCCCCAAGTCGAGTAGCAAGTCGTTAATTGCGCAACGTTAGGTGGGACTTGAGTTAATGTCGCGGCACGACTCGAGTCCCGACCACTAGTGACAACACAACTGACCTCTATCGGGTACTTGTAATATCTGTCGAAAAGCCAGTAGCATTGAACTACCATCCAGGTTAGCATGACTATCACCATAACAGTCCAGACGACTCGCTTCCATACGGAGTTGGCCCTGTAGATCTGCGTCAGGGCGGTGAAGCTGGTTTCCGTGAAAAACGCCGACATCTCATCCTTGATGCTGTTTTTCTAAATTATAAAAACACAAATAATTTGACGTTTGCTTTTAAAAATGGGCACACAAACATATGCTCTCTTTTTATAATTCACATTATAAGTTACCGAGGTCTACCATCGAAACCATCTGCAGGCAAAATCGAGTGGTATAGTGAAAATTATGTAGTAAAATTGACGTTTTGTTAATAAGGGTTGTACCGCTTCACGATGGTTGCTTTAATCAGTGGCGAGGAGAGATCAATTCGCATGTGTAGGCGGTTTAGACAAAATGAAGTGTTAGCAGGTAACGATTACACTAGATAGACTACCATATGATAATTATTTTCACGTGACTTCGCTGATGAGAGTATGTGTGCGCTGCTAGCATAGCCCGTCTTGGCAATGAGGAGCGACTTCTTTTGTCCTACTGCCTAAGTAGCAAATCTTGGCAGAGAGAAACGAGATTTAGTTTCCTGTCTTTTATCCTAATCTTATATTGCGTTTCTATAGATTATCGTTCTTGGTCGGCCTCTTGACTTGTGGGCTGATGTTCTCATATAGTACTCTCTAGCTGCTGGCTGATTTTGTTCCTTTGTGAACATTTAAACAAACAATTTGATTCTTTGATGTTCAGTGAAATCAGTTAGCAGCACTGTGCCTACCATTGTTTTCTGTTTTTCGTTGGTGACTCTGCTTCTTTTTTACCCCCCCCCCCCCTTTCCTTTCCTCTTCCCCCACACTTTTCTTCGGCATTTCACACACATTTCATCTCCCATGCTGTCATTTTGCCATTTTTGTCCCCCTAAGCCTCTCCATGTCTGCCATTGATAGCACAACGCTGGTACGAGGGGCATCTGCATAAAGACTAATTCGTATTGCAGGAGTCAGAAAGATGTGGACAGGCAAGGTGATAAATGGCACATGAAATGGGCTCTAAGGAAAGTAAATGTACAAAATCACAAACTGTAATAATAAAGTTGAGTTGAGTTGAATCAAGAATTGACATCAAGGCAATTGGGGCATTTCCATGAATGCTCCGTCCTCGTCTTCAGCAGCCAGCCCAGAGTTCCATTACTGATGATACCGGTCACAATCTGGTTAAATGTCCAGAGGACATTTAATAATAAAATACTATAATATATAATGGGACTGTAATAATAAAATAGGTACTTACCATTATAAAAGTTTATTAACAATTAAAATATATATAATATGACTGCAATAATAAAACAGGCACTTACCATTAGAGAAGCTTTAGAATGGGAAATATATATATAATAGGACTGTAATAATAAAACAGGCACTTACCATTAGAGAAGCTTTAGAATGGGAAACTCGAGAACTGCTTCTTAAATCTGGGCTACTCACAGCGTCATAGTAATTCATTTTGGCAATGCCTGTCTTTACATCGCTGTCTGTAGGCATTTTCAACTTCCACTTTGTCAAAGCTTTAGTCACGAGAGATATAAATGAGTTCTGCATTGTTCGGTAAAAGTAAACCGGCCACGTCACACTAGATCTCTGTCACTTTATTTCAGGCACTATATGTAAATATTCCACAAATATTATTCTTCGAAAAGCTGCTTTTTCTGTTAATAATCTAAAAACAATCAAAGAAGAATAATGTATTTTCGTGTCTTTTCTTTAAAACTGAAAATGGATAATTTCTCCATCGTCTTTTCGTGTAAGTTCAGGCAGAAAGTTCTGGTTGTTGGCCCAATTCTTGACTTTAGTCATATTCCATATCTTTGGGCATTACCTGCACATTCGTGTTACATATATGGTTTATTTATATCCTTCCCTGTCAGTATATGCACTCCGACTTTGAAGACAACATGCCTGATTTGTCGACTTTTACGACATGCTTCTTAGGGGACAATTTGTCTGTTCTGATCCCCCATACAATGGAGCTCTGGAACTAACACGAGAAAGATAATGTCAGACTATCTCACAGCTGATCCTCTACGCCACAAAGTCAGACTGTCCCACAGTTGATCCTCCACGCCACGATGTCAGACTGTCTCACAGTTGATCCTCCACGCCACGATGTCAGACTGTCTCACAGATGATCCTTCACGCCACGAAGTCAGACTGTCCCACAGTTGATCCTCTACGCCATGATGTCAGCCTGTCCAACAGTTGATCCTTCACGCCACAAAGTCAGACTGTCTCACAGTTGATACTTCACGCCACGATGTCAGACTGTCTCACAGTTGATACTTCACGCCACGATGTCAGACTGTCTCACAGTTGATCCTTCACGCCACAAAGTCAGACTGTCTCACAGTTGATACTTCACGCCACGATGTCAGACTGTCCAACATTTGATCATCCACTTCACGATGTCAGACTGTCTCACAGTTGATCCTCCACGCCACGATGTCAGACTGTCCCACAGTTGATCCTCCACGCCACGATGTCAGACTGTATCACATTTTATCCTCCACGCCAGGATGTCAGACTGTCTTATAGATGATCCTTCACGCCACGATGTCAGACTGTGCTACAGATAATTCTCTAAGCCACGATGTCAGACTGTCCTACAGATGATCCTCTACGCCAGGATGTCAGACTGCCCAGTGTATTCAGTTTCAGGCTTCCTCTAACTCCCTCCCTCCAACTTTCACACTGGTACGACGTACCCCAGTTGTCTCCTTCTCATCACATGACCAAAGAATATAGATTGTCTCCTCATGTGGGCAATCGATTCTATTCGTGATTCTGTTTCTTTTAAGGCATCTGCATCTTTAAAAAATATGTCCAAGGTATTCTCTTCATTCATCCATAAAACCACATCTCCGCAGCTTCAAAATCATTTTTGTTACTAATCGACTAACTGTCCACGATTCAACTCTGTATAGCAGGATAAGAAATGAATATATATATATATATATATATATATATATATATATATATATATATATATATATATATATATATATATATATATATATATATATATATATCTGGGTAATCTTAGTCTCAGCTTCATAGCAAACGAGTCACCCCATAGTTGCTCCACTGTTGTGCCAACGAAAAAAAACACACAATGTTTATCACGGTCCCTTATGGAAAGATTGTCAGACTGCTGTCTCAGCATTTGCACTAGCATACATACGCATTAAAAGCATACGGTAGCCTTTGGAAGTGCTAACACAAACAGTTTGACGTTAGGAATGCAGTTCATCGTCGACGGTAGCAGAAGTTACCAACAGATCAGCAGTTGCAAACGCGATCAATATTAATCACATAAGGGCACCACCAATATTGCGGCGACCGTCCACGCGCCATTTTTGAATCTACAGTTTACAACATCACGTTGGTCGCAGTCGAAAAACATTCCGAATGAAATCTGCAGCTCACAGGGTCCACTCAACTCAGTAGCTGGCGCGACGAAACTATATTCTTTTAGTCTACAAATAGATCACAAATGAAACGGCCACCGTCTGGCAGAAACAAAAAGTGACCGCTGGCATCCATTTTGATTGGAAGTATATATATATATATAGATATATATATATATATATATATATATATATATATATATATATATATATATATACATACACACACACAAACACACATGCATGCACACAACCCTCCCCTCCCCATATATGCACACAAACACATGCACAGACACAACTCCCCCCATATATATATATATATAGTTTAAGAATTATCTGTCATTTTTTTCCGTCCCTTTTTTTGTTTTTTTTTGGTTTTTTTTGTTATTTGAAGCCCTACTCTGGCTCTTGCCAGTGGCCGCAATAAAGCCTGGCCATAAATATGGCCTAAAGGCTGAACGCGGTTTCTGGGACTTCTCCACGGTGATCCTCACCCACATGGTGGAACTTTGTGTCATCGGGTGTTTATCGCTTGTGTGATGTCCTTGATGGGTAGAAGGTCAGTCAGTCAGTTAGTCAGTCACTATCTGTCATGTCTTACTTGACAAAGAAAGAGGAAAAGTCTGAGTCCGAAGCAGGTCAGCAAAGTGCACAAGCTCTGTAGCAACGGCGAGGATCCTGAAATACTTCGGGTAGATTTTTAACTCTAAATTTTGCCGGGCAACGCCGTTACGCTACTCTTTTCGATTTCCAACTACCAAGGGATTTTTTTACGTGCGCAACAATGCACACGGGCGTCTGATCTCACTACCTCGAGACCAGAGGAATTGCTTCAAGTCCAGGTCCACGTGAAAAAAACAATCTAAGCCCTTGCCGGGGATTGAATCCAGAACCTTGTCGTATGACAGTTTTGTCGCGCACCTTACTTACAGGA